CATTTGGGTGGCGTTATGCTAATATTTTCACATAGTGACGTAGCTATGTGGGTGCGTGTTAGATTGAGCCGTTTTAGGTAGGCGTGGTTGACTCTTAATTTTTATAAAGAATATCTCTTTGGATTTGAGACTTTAGTCTTTGCAACTTTACAGATCTTCTTTATGCACCAAGAGCTTGTAACACTCCAAAGAGAAAGGAAAACTTGAAATCGCATCATATGACCCCTTTAAATTAAGTTTTGTTAAAAAAATGACCCACCTTGTAGTTTCAATAGATGTTTTTAGCACAACTTGTGCTTGTCTTTGGTAAATCATGTCTGCACACAATTTTTGTTGATTTACAAAATTTCTTCCTCAACAGGCCCAAGACCCCCAAATGCTTGACCAGCTATCTAAAAACATCACAAGATGTGGCTTATCTAACTCTACGCTGAACTACCTCCGAGTAAGTTAATTTCCATCAGTCTACAGAACGGTCGATTTGAATTAAAAAACATTGCTAACAGGTTTTTCTCTCCCACAGCTTTGTGTAATCCTGGAGCCCATGCAGGAGCTGATGTCCAGACACAAGACGTACAGTCTCAGCCCACGAGACTGCCTCAAAACCTGTCTGTTTCAGAAATGGCAGCGGATGGTGGCCCCACCAGGTGAGAATGGGGCGACTTTCATCTCAAAATCAAACATCCAGCAGTGTCCCACCCGAGCCTCAGATATCTCCCTTTGCTCTTTGTCCAGCCGAGCCAGCAAGACAAGCCCCCAACAAGCGAAGGAAGCGAAAAATGTCCGGTGGCAGCACGATGAGTTCCGGAGGGGGCAACAACAACAACAACAGCAACAGTAAAAAGAAAAGTCCAGCCAGCAGTTTTGCGCTCTCCAGCCAGGTACCTGTAAGCATCTCATTTTGATGTCCATTTTGAGCTATGGGAGACGGGTTAGCGGGAGGAGGGTGGACCAATGCTTGTATTTAAGTTATACCTTATATTAGGAAGACAGACCCAACATATAGACAAGTGGACATGATCCAAAGCTGGGCAGTCCCTGGTCCTTTAGGGCCGCAGGTCTGTGGGTTTTTTGTGCTTTTTGTCAGTCTGTTGGGTGTTTTGAGCTCCAGAGACGCAGCCAACACTAGAGACCCGAGGTGGAATGAACCCATGCAGCACTCAAGGATCCGGGATGCCCACCATGGCAGAGCTATTTAGTGTTCAGCATGGTGAACATAGCCTTTTCACATACAGCACTGCTGGTTTAAGTTCCCGTGCTGATTTGGGCTTGTAGTGGGCAGAATAGTGGAGGTGTAGTTCCTCAGTGCCTTCTGCAGTTCAATGTGGTGTAGAAAGCCACCGCGTCCCCCTACGGAGCACCCCCAGGTTGCGGGGATAATGATTGCGCCCCTTCCTGTCCCCTGCAGGATGTGATGATGGTGGGAGAGCCCACTCTGATGGGAGGGGAGTTCGGGGACGAGGATGAGCGGCTCATCACGCGGTTGGAGAACACACAGTTTGATGCGGCCAATGGCATCGACGACGAGGACAGTTTCAACAGTTCCCCCGCCCTGGGCACCAACAGCCCCTGGAACAGCAAAGCTCCTTCCAGCCAGGAGAGCAAAAATGACAACCCCACCTCACAGTCATCGCAGTAGAAGTGTTAGGGGCTAGCGAAAGGCTCGAGGACCCCTCGCTCGCAAGACCCGGTCCTAGACTTCTGCTTTGACAAGTCCTCAATTGGCCACACGTGAAATTGACCCTCCTCCTCTGTTGCCGTCAGACATTCCGTTTTGTTGATTCTTTTGTTTCTTTGAGAGTCGTTTTCCAACATGTCTCGATCAGGCTTAGCGATCAGGCTGTGGGTTATTGTTCCAACCTCGGGTCTCTCTGTGCGTGCTGTGCTTTGACACGCATGGCCGTTTCTGTTGTGCTCACTTGACAGGAAAGGATCACTTTTTATCTGACCGTTTAGTGATATGACCATTGTGTGCACCTCAGATTCAAACCCAAAGCTCCATTTTTAAAAACTCAATTATTTGTTTTGTAGGACCTGGTTGGAACAAAAACCTGTACAGTTCCGGAGCTTGAGGACCGGAGTTGAGAACCACTACGTAAAGTCCTTTAAGTAAAACTAAATAAAGTGTAAAGCATCGAGGTTCTTGAGTTTGGTCATGCCCGAAATGGTCACTGAGAGCTTGCCTGACCATTACGCCAGACTCAAAAGAAGTGTTTGATTTTTTTTTTTTTAATTGTTTGCATTCTGTTTAGTTTCTTGTTCTTTTTTTATTTTTTATAACGATTTCTAAAGTGAAAAAATAAGCAAGCAAACAAAAACTCAAAATATCCTTTGCACTCTTGTCACTGTATTTTGGATCTATTTTTCTTAAAAAATGATTGATGAATTTTGTTCTTATTAAAACAAAAAATGTATGATCTTTAACTGGAAAACGCTGTCAATCTCAATGTAAAATAAAAAATTTTGTATTGTTACTGTTATCAATATTATTGTAAGTAGATGCTAATTTGCTTTAAGCTTTACACCTATCTGTCTTTGTTTCTGTTTTAATCGTCTTTGAAAATGAGATTACATGATCATAGCATGTATGTCTGGGAACTGCATGTGTCAGACATTAGCTATCGCAGCTGTAACAGTCTCATTGTTCGCAGGATCTAAATCCTACACTGTTAGTACAACGGCTGGTGACACATTTTGTCCTGAGACCGTAGCTATAAACATTTTGTTTCCTGGAGATTTTTAGCCTATTGAAAAGAACAGGCCGAGCTCAATGCCTGTCGTTCACACTGATTATTAGTTTGCTTTGAAAGTTAATTTGAAAATCTAATTAGTAAGCCAGTTATTGTTTTTTTCCCCCGATGCTACAGACCAAGGAGCAAGATCCTTTAATCAACACATTTATATAATGTTTTTGTTTTTTTTATCATTTTGTTTGTGTATTTGTGATTGTATATTTAAGATTGTAGCCAAGTTCTGTATAAGTGTAATTCTATTTACTCTTCTTAGGACCCTTGTGCCCTTCACCCCTTCATATGTCAAGTAAAACTGAACCTCTCATTCCAAATTGTTTCTAAATGCATTAAAGGTACAACTACCTTTTACACGAGAAGGTAGTTTATAGTTTTGTCAACGTACAATGTATTTATTTTTTTAAAGTCTTTGCCATTGCATTATATCGAGACGATACATGTTGCTGTGTATTTGATGTTGCCTTTGTACATTTTCACATGTTGTTTTTTTTCCTCAACCTAAGATGATATATTAGTCCTTGAATTAATCCTTAAGAATTCTTATTAAAATTTGGATAATTAAACATAATCCTAATTCCAAGAAGCCCCTTTGAGGTTACATTGTATTAGGTTTTAAAACACCAGAGGGCACTCCATTGTAGGGCTTCCATTGACTTATAAAAATGGTCTAAGACCTAAACTATGGTTAAATATAACCATTCTAAGGCATACAAATCCGAAATTCATTTTTCTTCAATGTCACTTGTGAAATACAGTGTTTCTGGTTTATTTCTCAAATCGGCCGTAAAGCAGGTGTGCTCTTTTCTGTGTTTTCAGAGCACCTTTGTTTGTGGTTGTTTTACAGATATATTTTTGCCTCGTGTCTGCCATTGACAGTTGATATATGGTACCAATAAAACATTTTCACAAGCTATCATGCCTGGTATGTGGTTAAAATATACACATTAACAGTACATTAAAAACTATGAGAGGCTTCCTCAACACTGAGTTTCTGATAAGAAATGTGAACAACTCTAATAGTCAAAACTAGAGTGTTACTGACTCTTCATATTTCCAGGTAGATCCTCTGCAAACAGATCCAGATCTTGAAGTGTTTTTGTTGTACTTTACGGTTAGTACTGTGTATGCTAACCCGGTCGTTAGTAAGTGATAAATCAATCAAAGGCCACCAAGAAGCACGCATGTCCTACTTTTTAGCAGAACTGTTAAATTGCTAAGGCAGTTAACGGAAACAATTAAATTCAAGTTTATTTGTACAGCGCTTTTCACGATACAAATCATTGCAAAGCAACTTTACAGCAAATTAAGTTTCTACAATATTTAGTGGTAGCTTATCAGTGGTGACTGTCAGTTAATGTACATATGGCAGAAATGTACGGGAAAATCAATTTAAGACGTAATAAAACAGACGATGAACACTATTAACAGCAATTATTATATGATGCAATTAAACTTATAGCAAAATTTGGTAGTTCTGTATGTTGTTTCAGGGTTGGTCCTCTGAGGGCTTGGCATCATCTCTTCTCAGGTGTTCTGGATCCAGACTGAAGCTTGTGTAAATCCTAGTTATGGCAGAAACAGAAATGAATAGAGACATAATTAGCGTAGCTGCTGTTTCAACCAAGCAAAATTGATTTGTTTAACCCAAACTAAAGAATAATAATGTGCATTTGATCAGATATGGAAACTATTTCAAATGTCCCATGACAAATGTTTTTGTTCTTTGAATAAGTTAAAGCAGGAAATGATTATTAGTTTTAAATCCAACTTATTTTCATTAAGCATCCACATATGCTTATTCATCTGCCGTTAAATGTTTTTGGGTAAAAGACGTGACACTCACTTTGTTCAGATCTACTACGACATTAATAAATGCAGTTGTAACCAAAAATAATTTAAATGCACCCACTAATGTTTTCAATTAATAAATCAAGTCAATGGATATTCTTGAATTGTTAGTTCACACAAATATGAAAAATCTGTTAATTTACTAATTCTCATGTCTTTCCAAACCTCTTTCTTTTGTAAAACATAAAAGATAGGGGATTTCTTTCTCTCTCTTTCTTTCTTTCTCTTTCTTTCTTTTTCTTTTCTTTTTTTATAAAAATGTAGGCCTATATAATTTAATCAATCGATGATATATAAAATGAAATGTGTTTTAAATGAATTTCTTTAATAAACATCTTTTTTGTCATCTGGGACATTGTTTTTTTTTGTTTTGTTATTGTAATTTTGTCATTGATTTTTTTTTGTAATTAACCAATGTTCATTGTCATTAATAGTAATTTTATACATTGTTCTTTGATAATTGTTTTATGTAAACTGAAAAGAAAACTAAACATCAATTTAAAAGTTTTTGTTTACACAATATATGTACTTTGTATATTTATTATGTAGCCTATATATAAATGCACACACATGCATGTATTTCAGAAAAAAAAAAATCTGTATATAATATTAATTATATGAATATAGATATATACATGTAAATGTGCATAATTTTCAAAATATATACTGTATGTATATTTATACATACATAATAAATATACAAAGTGTACACATATTATGTAAACAAAAACTTTTATTTTGGACGCGATTAATCGTTGGACAGCACTAATTTAAATATATATTTTTAGAAACAACAGCAATAGAAAAATGCGGTCACCCTCAGTTTTAAATAGATTCCTTTCTGAAAACTGACCAGTCTTTATAGACTCAGAGCCTCCCTCCCTCTTTCTCTCCCTCCCATTTCAGTTTGTCCTAGTCTTTCATTCTTTCAAAGAGTGCCAATTCACTCTTTTATTGCTTCACTCAGTGCAGCTAAACTTCAATGTTGACATCAGGTTTCTCTCAGAGGTATAAAGACATCGGATCTATGAGAGGATTTTAGACTCACTTGAATTGAACTAAGAGGAACACGCTCAACAATAGCTGGAGAACTTTAAATATAAAACAGGTAGCTACTATTGTAGTGTTGTTTATGACTTTGCCCTGAGTGGTAAAAGTGCGGTCTTTCTAGCTTCGCCTTTTCGTAGTTAGTTCTCAGGTTACTGTTTTAGGTAAACAGTTCAGGACAATATCTGCTTAACGCGGATACGTTTGTCAATCCAACCTGTTTATTTAAATTGGTCTGACACACTGTCAAGAAGATCGAGTTTTGCTTCAGTCTGTGTTAATATGTAAGAAATTGTACAATAATAGTTCTATTTATCTAAAAATATTTTTTTGTAGCTTTCAGAGCGTTTTTCATTCCTGACAGTGTTTTTGTTTTTATATTTTAGTCAGGAAGATGTGTTTTAGGACGTAAGTAGCCTACAGTTCCTCTTTCTCTAATTATCACAGTAATTGCTGTAATTATAAAACAATAGTCATACGGTGACTGTATGTTTTAAAGAAGATTAGACTAATTATTGACATTTAATATGTCATAGGTGACGTTTGATGCTCATAAGAATCGAGACGTGACCTAAAACCCCACCGACTAATGAACATGAGGTCCAGAATGAAAGGAGTTTTTTGGAGCGGCATTTTGCCGCTGTTTCTCTGGACACTTGTAAGCGGACAACCGTCCTGTCCTATCGACACCAACAGAACAGAGCTACAAACTCCACATGAAATACCAACCAAGCTGACCTTCAATAGTGCCTTTATGTCTCCAATTGTACATTCATTTCTGGGCTCTGTCCAGCCCAATCCATTCCCTAAAGGTGAGTTAATGTGATGTAGTTTTGATCTCTGTGTCTGACAAGGTCGTATTCAGTACAAACATGTTCTTTTAGTATTAAGTCATTTGCCATCAGCAGTTTGGTTACACATGGTTTTATCTACGCAAACAACATGTTATGTGGCACAGATGAATCTAACTTGATCTGAGACTGTAATGGCTGTATTAGACTCATTAGAGGATGTTATTAAGCTGGGCTTGTTGTGCACATGGTTAGATGGTGCTTATTCAGTTGAGATAAATGTACTCAGTTAAATTGTCAGAAGCAAAACCACTGTGCAAATAACCATGCAAATGTCCATGAGATTTGAATCATCTCCCCTCCTCATTCTAAGAGCTTTGTTTACCACAAAAATATGTTTATTGCTGTACTCTTCAAGCAGCCTGTATAGTTGCAGTCAGCATCACAAATGGAAAGGCAAACTTTTAAGTTAATTATTACCTGCCAATTCATTGTATGCTAAAAAAAGAGTAGCCTACTTCTCATATTGCATGATCTCATACATTTCAAAGCTGTTCATAAAATGTTAACAATGTATAATTATTGGACCAAACATGAACTATTATGTTTATACATCTCTTCCTTGCAGACAATTATTATTTAATCTAACAATAGAATGAAGCATTACTTTACAGAGATATTACTCCATAGAAACCTCATGAAGTTGTTCAGGTTACAATGATGAAATTCTATTCATCATCACCCATCAATAGAGTATTGTGTATAGTCTACCTTTCTACTTTGACTCTTTTGCTATAATACATACTTTGCTGATATCAATGGCTATTTTAGA